AAGGCTGCTTTTGGTTTAGGTATATATAAATATGTATATTAAACTTTTGGGATTGTAAATAGTTAGTATGTTCCGGGTAGACATGTCCCCGATGATCACGTTATGTAAACTTTAAGTATTAAATTATGTGTCTTGGGCTCTATATCGTTATCCCGTAATTTGAGGTTTTTTTTAAACTAAATTAATTTAATGGTGGTTCGGTAATTGTTTGTTATGTAATCGTGGTGTTACAAATATGGTATCAGAGCAGTAGTTTAAGTAAATTAGGTATCTATATCGGTATCTAGACTTAAACTAGGCATTGATGTTATATAGTAACTAAGCAATTATTTATACGGGATATGGACCATTAAGAGAGACCAAAGTTAGGTAAGGGACCATGGATAGGATGTTGTTTAATACTCTATATGTTTTAATACTCTCTATATGTATACACCTTTTAGGACAATGTCTGATGGTGATGCTGCTAGCCACACTCCACCAAACCCCGATGATGGAGAAAACAATCCCGATCCCAACTTGAATGAGGATGATACACCCTTGTCTCCCCGTGGTGAACGATTAATGAAACGACTCTTGACATTCGTTCAACAAACCTTTGAACAGTTTAAGCATGACACGGGAAAGGGTAAATAGAAAGTCTTGGGTGATTCCTCAAAAGCCAAATCTGAGCGGGTCTCGTTTAAAAACTTTCGTAGTGGCGGCGCTACTGAATTCACCGGACTCTCTGATCCAGTAACCACAGTACAATGGATCCAAAACACCGAAAAGGTATTCCGGATTTCTCGAGTGTTAAACGAGGATAAAGTGAATTTTGCCAGTGCAATGTTGACAAAACGTGCACTCACTTGGTGGGATGCAACTTTTGAATCCCTTACTAAAGATGAACGAAAAAGCTTGACTTGGAAGTCTTTCAAGACTCGTTTCTTTGAGCAATTCTGCCAGATCGACTTGCAACGGAGGCTTGAGAAAGAATTCTTAGAACTCAAGCAAGGGAACATGTCTGTGATTGAGTATGAGACTCAATTTAACCGAAAGGCACGTTTTGCTTTACGGTTCTTATCTTCCGAACACGAACGAATCGAACATTTTGTCAATGGTTTGAGGCGAGAAATCCGCGAGTTTGTTGCTAATCGCGATATTCCAAGTTTCAATAAAGCTGTGGAGTACGCTCGTCGTCGTGAACACGATTTAACTATAATTGATGAACCAAATTTCGAAAAGGCAACGAAATGAAAGAACCTTCTCTGTACCTACTCAGCGACAATCTTGATCTTTCACTCCGAGGCAGAGTCAATCTCAAAACATTTCGCGTGCTCAATCCCAAGCCTATTCACTTTAGGTATAATTCTTTTTAATACCGTAGACATAAAAGTGTGGATTATGGAATTAACACTATTCTATGGTAGTCGAATGCCTCACGTCTTTGTCAAAGAAGCGGAAAAACTCACCAAGGGTGATGCCTTACTGAATCAACAAGCTTGAGATGTTTCTGTTGCGGCGAAATGGGCCATGTTCGTACAACCTGCTCAAAAAGAGACCGAGCATGTTATTCTTGTGGAGTATTTGGTCACCGACAATTTGAATGCCCCCGTATGAGACGGGAAGAAAGTAAGGCGTCGGTGCAACGACTGGCAGTGGGAGGTTCCTCAAGTCAAAAGGAGGAGGTACCCAAAGCACGAGTTCGAGCTTTCCAGATTACTGCGGAAGAGGCTCGTAATGAGCCAGATGTCATACCGGTATTTTCTTTGTTAACTCCCAACCCGCTCATATTTTATTCGATTCTGGAGCTACAAATTCTTTTGTGTCGCATGATTATGTTCGCTACTGGGAGTCTGTGCCAATTATGCTTCCTATACCGTTTACCATTGATACTGCTAATGGAGTCCCTTTGGTAGTTGATAGAGTATTTAGAGACTGCACTTTAGTGTTAGACCATCATAACTTTTCCGTAGACTTGATTCCTATAGATATATGTGGCTTTGATGTCATGATTGGTATGGATTGGTTAGTGAAAAGCCGCACGGTTATCATCTGTTATGAAAGGATGGTTCGGTTGCCAGTCGAGAACGGAGACTACTTGTACATTTATAGGGAAAGATGCATTGGTGACGTGATGGTAATATCTATACTTAAAGCACGACGTTATATTACTAAGGGTTGCTCTTCTTTAATGGCATATGTCTTGGATGCAACCAAAGAAGTGAAGAAAACTGTGAAAGATGTGCCTATAGTATGTGAATTCCAAGATGTTTTCCCAGATGACTTGCCTGGTCTACCGCCGGACAGGCAAGTAGAATTTCGTATTGATTTAGTGTCGGGTGCTGCACCAATTGCAAAGACACCATGTCGTCTTGCACCGGCCGAGATGAAAGAGATGATGAGTCAATTGCAAGAGTTGTTAGACAAGAGCTTTACTCGACCGAGCACTTCACCCTGGGGTGCTCCGGTATTGTTTGTGAAGAAGAAGGATGGATCATTTTGTATGTGTATCGATTACCACAAATTGAATAAGGTAACGATAAAGAACAAGTATCCATTACCGCGTATAGATGACTTATTCGATCAGTTGCAGGGCGCAAGTTATTTCTCAAAGATTGATTTGAGGTCGGGTTATCATCAACTTAGGGTACGTGAAGAGGACGTACCAAAGACAGCTTTTCGTACCCGATACAGACATTATGAATTCCTTGTTATGCCGTTTGGATTAACTAACGCCCCTGCAGCCTTTATGGATATGATGAATCGAGTGTGTCGTCCTATGCTCGATAAGTMTGTTATCGTCTTCATCGATGACATACTCGTATATTCTAAGTCTGAGGCTGAACATGCTTCACATCTTCGGGAGATGTTGGATCTGTTGCGGGAGGAAAAACTATATGCTAAATTCTCAAAATCTGAATTTTGGCTTCGTCGAGCACAATTCTTGGGGCATGTGATTTCGGGTGATGGCTTTTCTGTGGAATCATCTAAGATTGAAGCTATACAAAAGTGGGAACAACGAAAGAATGCTTCCAAAGTTCGTAGTTTCCTTGGTCTTGCGGGTTATTACCGACGATTCATACGAGATTTCTCAAAGACCGTTGTACCGCTTACTTCACTCACTCGTAAAAATGTGAAGTTTGTATGGACTGAGGCTCAAGAGAATGCATTC